GTATTTGGGTAGTCGGACACTACGACCTATGGGATGGTCTCGAAGTTTGGTGACGTAGAAGGTAACGTTGGTGAAATCCATGACAATCCATTTGGAGTTGGGACGCTGTTGTCGAGCCCATTCATGAATGTCGATGTTTTCCAACGCTGTACGCACTTGAACCAAATCCTCGCGGTTATTAATCTGGAATGGGGAGTCGAAGACACGGTTGTTGTTAGCTGAGGGGTGGTGATATTGTATTTGTTGCGTCTCGTTGTTAAACAATACGAAACCAAAGGAGAGATTTAACTTAAAGACCGTGGTTTGATCTTCAAATATACGGTCTATATCGTTGACAAGTTGACCCATATTCGCTGAGCTTAGACGATAGTTGTACCAATCTTGCACTCGATTGCCTCGGCTTTGTCGCGTACGTATAGTACGCCAATGATCCCGGTGAAGTTGGGAAGGCAGGTTAGATGGGGGTAATAGGGGGTCCTGAGGGAACGGTTGGGGTCCTATAGAAATAACACCCGATTCTTTATTTTTGTCTAGAGCTTCGCACTAATTTTGTCATACAAACACCCGATTCATAAAAAATCGACATAAGTCTAACATGAATAAATTAGTAACATGCAAATTTCACATAGCAACATAATCAACCCACGCTATGAAAATTATTTTTACCTCACTATAAAACGCTAGCGAATGTTACAAAACAGATGTAGCGCAAATGCTCGTACAATGATATAAATTAATAAAGCAAATGAACATAAGTCTAACACGAATAATTAGGAACAGTCCACACTATAAACCCACGCTTAAAAATTACTCGATTATGTTTATCAGGTTTTCAAAACACAAACAGTGAAACAACATGAAAATATTTTTCAAATGTAAACGTTAGGATCTCAAAGTCTTTCGCCTGGCAATGTTTCAAAACCGAGTAATTGACATTGTCAATATACACAGCAAATCACCACAATCAATCTACTATATACGGTATAAATCAAAGTCTTTCTCCGGGCAATGTTTTTAAAACCAAGTAATTAACATTATCAATATACACAGCAAATCACCACAATCAATATACTATATACGGTATAAAAATTGAATTTCATACCTTCGTTGACGACTGTAGAAGCTCCTGAAAAGGGAGAAAAAATGTATTAGTGTGATTTTAACTCAAATTATTACACAGCATATATACTCTCTTACCTTCGTTAACGCGTGTCGAAGATGATGGTGGTTCTTAAAAGAAAAAATATATGTGTATAAATACAAAGTTAGTAATCAAAATATTTTCATTTATACATACCTGGTTCATCAGTTCTTTGCCTTTTTGTTCGCCCGGTCGGCGTCTTCGTACGTTTCCCACGGCCAACTTGATGGACTTCGCGTCGATGGGTTTGGAATGGAAATATATTTCGAAATACTTCACCACATACATTACAAGTATATTCCCGTTCCGCGCCACGGCGCTCGTGCATTTTCATGTGGCGGCTCAAATTATCCTGTAATTATAAAGAACATGAAGTATAATACTATAGAGAACAGCGTATATCTACACAATGTCTATACATATACCTAATACAGTTTATATATTAATACAAATCTCTACAAACCTTTCGATCAAATTTCTTATGACATCTTGCACATTCGTGCCCCCTCTCGCTGTGGGATTTCTCATGGCGTTTCAACGTATCGGAGGTTGCAAAGGATTTTTCACACCGTTCACAAGGAAATGACTTCTCACTAGTATGTACTCGTTTCATATGGCGCTTGAGACTATCAGGCCGTGCGAACACTTTACCACACTCAATACAACAATTGCCCGACTTTTCCGCGGTTGGCTCCTGCCAGTCGTCCCATTCAGCGAGAATCTGCTCTTGAGTTCCGGGTGACCAAGAAAATGTGTCCACGGCACAAAGCTGGCGATTGACGTCTTCATTTTCCAACTCTGCCATGAAATGGTCTCTCCTACAAAATATAGAAGTCGATTACATACACAAAAATCTGGATATTATATTAATTTTCAGTTTAAATTAAACTTACCAAATATTCTCTCGATGTTGTTGTGCCATTCTCTTCCAAGTACTTCTCTCCGAATATAAATTTCTCCAAAAGACCTCCAGTAAGAGCGTTGTCAAATGCAGAACTATGCTTGTTACAAGACGCTTGTCGATTTTATACAGACGCTCGTTAAATCAAGCAACCAATCATAGTAAGCCAACATTAATCCCTCCATTGTATCATACACGTGTGGAGGACGCTAAAAAATGTTTAGTCAGCAAGTTTCAACCGATCTTGTTTAAACCTGCCCGCGTGACGTCATTGCATATAATTATGACGTATGTTAATGAGTGACGTCATTACTCCTCCTCAATTGGACGAGTATTAATTATAAATGAGGTGGTGGATACCAACCACCTCAAAACTCCACCACCTCACACCCCACCACCTCACACCACCTCATCCACCACCTCAAAAATCCGGATCGAAAACCACCTACTATACTACTCCCACTCCCTACAGTCGTGGCACTGTTTGTCAAAAATCGTTGCCTAGGTTTCCTCGGTCATTCCAAAACGTAATTGTCGAGCCGGAATAATGTTCGAACACGTTTTCCATGTTTTCCATGGTTTTTGTTTCATCATGGAAAACTTTGTCCATAAAATTTAGTCATCATCCTCGCTATTGCTGGACACGTAGTCCCTTCCCATGCACAATTCAAAACTTCCACCGGTTTTTCCAAACAAATCAGGTCAAACTGCGGCGTGTTGAAAGGACAACAATTACAGAAAGTTCACGTCAAATTTCTTCGGTATGGTTACGCCAATGCTAATCCTACCCTTTGCAAAAATAGATGCTTACTTGAACTTGAAACCAATATAAATATAGACTTAAGTAATATAGATACTTGGTTATGTGCTAATAGGTTATCACTTAATGTTGAAAAATCAAACTTTCTTATATTTCATCCTTACCAAAAAAATATACTAACAGACATAAAACTTTCGGTAAGAAATAAAGTCATTAAACAAGTAGATCACATAAAGTATCCTGGTGTTTTATTCGATCCTCATTTAACTTGGAAAAAACAAATTACGTTCATTTCAAAAAAGATTAAAAGAAGTATAGGAATTTTGTCTAAACTTAGATATTATGTAGATAGCAACATTCTGGTTAATTTATATCATGCTTTAATTTACCGTTTTATAACATACGGTTTAATCATATGGGGTAATGTTTATTCATCAACTGTCAAACCTTTAATTATACTCCAAAAAAAGGTTTTGCGTATTATAACTTTCTCTAAATTTGATGCCCACTCTAGCTCACTTTTCAAACAGTTGAATATTATTAAGTTGACTGATCTTCTAAATCTACACGTGGTTCTTTTCATGTACAAATATCATAACAACTTGTTGCCACCAACGTTCAACAATTTCTTTACTCCTGTGTGCAATGTTCATTCTCAAAATACGAGGCTTGCTTCTAAATTAACATATATACTACCAAAAGCAAGAACAAATTTCGGAATTTTCAATATCAAATATCAAGGGGCTAAAATTTGGAATTCTTTACATGAATCATATAAAGACTTGCCGATTTCTCAAATTAAATATAAAATTAGAATCGATTTTCTTGGAAAGTATTGATTCAGTTTCCAACTCCAACTTTTTCTATACGTTATCGGGAGTCATGCAGGACTCCTTTCTCGATATTTTAAATATATTTGATATAGAACTATATATTGTCAATCTTCATAATTTTTTCGTCCTTTATTTGGTTTCCTGATATTTATATAGCCCTGTGGTTATTTCAGGGAGCCAGCTCTCTTTCAAATCTTCTCAAAAATTACAAAACAATTAGTCACAGATCACAAATATATTTTATTAATAATAATAATGTTAACTATAATTTAAATAATTTCTTTGTGTATATAAATTGCAATTTGAAAGGAGCAAATAAATCTTGTATCTTGTTTTACCCGTAATGTCGACGTCCTCATCCCGAACAAGACAGCAATGGGTAAAACCACTGTAGTTCACCTCCACGATCATATCATCATCGATCATCTGCGAAATACGAAACGTGTTTTCCGGACGCGCAAAGCTAAGTTGAACATCGCGACTTTCCATCGTTAATCGCTTTATTATACAAGAAATTGATTTACAAAACACATTAAAAACTATATCACGAGTGCCCCAAGCTCAAAAGAAACCACCACGATTTCATCCAACGTTTCCTCCTCTTCCATCCTTTCCGGGAACCCAAACTCCTCGTCCTTCCACATCTTTTTGTTCATGTAATTAATCTCCTCACAGTTCTCCTCCTGCAGCGCCCAGGGAACGACGCTTCTGTCACCTTCAAAGTCCGTGGGCCAACCCAAACGGATCCTGTCCTTTGGACTTTCGAGCCAGCAGCCAGTTAACTGGACGAATTCGCAAACAGTAATAAAAATAATAATACCCATTAAACCTCCAAAAACGTAGTCCACACCCCGAATTTCGGCGTTTCGACTCATCCATCCTTTCCCAAACTTAATCCTGTGTTTCGCCACCAAACTGTCAGCGCCTCCGGTCGAGACGGTAGCCTTCAACTTCAACTTCAACTTTATTTAAAGACGTATATTAAAATATATTATTTACAAAAACAACCAGAAAAAAGTGATCTTCCAATAGGCCGTGTGATAACTTAACATTATATCAATCTACATTGTTTAAGTCTACTCTTAAAAGTTGCTACACTTCCTAGCGACTTCAGGTCAATTGGAAGAGCATTTCAAGTCTCCGTACCTCTGTAGGCCAATGATTTTTTCATAGCATTAGTATTTGGCATTGGTAATGTATAATTAAATTCTTTATGCCTACTGTTATGATTATGGACTTTTTGTGTATTGAAGAAAATATCCTGCAGGTAGTTTGGAACCATTTTATGTTTAATCTTATACATTAATGTAGCAAGTTGTTGTTCCCTTCTTGCATGCAGATCTGAAAATCCTACCTTAGAATATCTTTTGATCGCGTTTCATATCCTTCACGGGTAATAATACGAAACGCTCTATTTTGTAGACGCTCAAGTTTATCTGATAAAACTTTTTTTAGGCCACCCCAAACTTGCGAGCAATAATCAAAGTTTGATTGGATTATTTATTTATAAACAGCTATCAAAGTATTATAATCAACAATATCCCGTAGTCTTGTAAAAATGCTGAGTCCTGAGTTAACTTTTTTTGTAATTTTCTCAACTTGTGCCGACCACCATAAAGTATCATCAATCATTAGGCCAAGCAACTTGGTCGCATTAACTTATTTAATCTCTTTGCCTCACACACAAATTGAGGGTTCTTGGACTATTTGGCCAAGTCGCTTATTGCTACCTATAACCATGAATTCTGTTTTTTATTGTTCAAAGGTAATTTTTTAGCTGACATCCAAGTCGAAAATTTATTAAATCTGGGTTAAGATTCTCTAAGATCACATTGATATCGCTGTTAGATGTTGCAATTCTAGTGTCATCGGCAAACATGTCTAGTCTAGTGTGTCTTAAACATTTTGGAAAATCATTAATATAGATAAAAAAACAATAGTGGGCCTAACCCCGAGCTTTGCGGTATTCCGTTCTTCACGGTTAGGTGTCTGACAGGTGACCATTTACTTGACAACATTGGATTCTGTCTGATAGATATGATCGCAACCAACAGAGTGCCATGCCTTTTATGCCATAAATTTTTAATTTTTTTAGAAGAATGTCGTGGTCAACTGTAATAAAGGCCTTTCTTAAAGCGGCAGTGTCACCCGCTGCGCATCCGTTCTGCGCATAACAAACCGATTTTTGGAATATGTCGGAAAAGGTCGGAATCACAACATTCCGACTATAAAAATGTGCATATATTCACATTTTCGGCGGCGGAAAAGACCAAATAATTGCTTCATTTCACACAGGTTAACAATTATAGTTGTAAAAGTTCATGTGCCACCAAAAGAAACGAGAACAGTAACCGAGGTTGCCCGCGTAAGGCAAATATTAAAGAACGTTGTGCATTCTGCCAGCTGCAAGTGTGGAGAACTCGCAAAACTCCTCAGTCTCCTTGCAAGAATAGGGTATGTGTGCGAATCAAATGTACTTGACGGTATCTTTTATTTGTGTTTGCATATTATACCACATTATATTTACTGTTTATCCTACTTTGTTGTAGGAGAACGTTTGCGAAAGTACCATGTAGTGCATGTACTTCGTGGCCTCACACAGCGTCCAACTGTCAATACTGAGAAAACGATGATACTGTAAGGTTTGTGAATTTCTAATACATCTTATTAAATTGTTTAAAACGTTTTTAAAATGAGGTATATTAAACATGTTTGAAGATGCGGTACAGTCCGTATGTAAACAAAGGCTTTGTTTACATTTCAGTATCCAAAATACTGAATTTTATTGGACGACTATTTATATTTTCATGATTCTAGAGTATAATACATCAAGACACAACGATCAATCTTTGCAGGAATATAAAATGAAATAAAAACCTAAATAAACTGTTTGTATAATAAAAAGAGGCCTCCTGTGAGCAGATGCACAGATCTGACTGTACTGCATCTTTAAGTTGAATAACTTTGGCTGAAACTGTTGAATGGTGATACCAGGGGCAAAACTAGCCCCCTTTTAATTGGGTGGTGTCTGCTAGAATTTCCCTGCGAAAGTCGATGATGCCCTCCAGCAAAAATTTTTTTGGCCGCTATTTCTCCCAAAAATGTTGGCGAGTGGGGGGGAGGTAGAAAAATTTGGGGGGGAGGTCGGTTTCCGGACATTCAAAAAAAGGGGCGAAAACATTTTTCGGACATAAACCAATTCAATTATGCAACAAAATATTTTTTCGGACAAATTCCTGTTAAAACATGCATGAAACCCTTATTTTTTTTACCAATATCTGTAAAATTTAGGTCTATAAATTCTATTCAATTCCCTCTGGAAGCCACTGAATAACTCTACATTATATCATTTAAATTTTTTCATTGCCCTGCCAATCCAGATGATTTGTACTTTTGCCCCCCCCCTCAAGTTTCATCCCTGGGTGATACAGTATAAAGTCTAATTGGGAAGTGATGGCACAGACTGAAATTTGAAACGGGAAATAATTTCGCAAAGGCAGATTGCCGACCTGTCAGGACATCATGTCAGGGCGGCAGATTAACATGCTGTAGACCTGTTTGCTGATGGCAAATTGTTGCTGATCTGATTTTTCCTATTTCAGATGGCCTGAATATTAGCCAAATGACACATAATTATATATTTATATAAGTGAAATATCCTAACATTTTGTATAATAGCTATTTAATTTAGTAAATAAAAATAACCAACCCCTTAACCTTCTAATTGAAGCTAATTGCAATGCATATGGGGCTTGTGCATGTGAACCGTGTATCAGGCCATTTTGTTGTTCTCACCAAAAGCTTTGCTTTGATATCAAAGCGAGGCTTTGTGATGGAAAAAATAGCATGACTTAAACCCATACAAGACCAATTATCTTGATTTGATGCTAGAAATTAGTAAAGCTGTTGGATAGTCATTTCAATTAGAAGCCTAAGGAAGAGGAATAAGGACTACGGGTTATGTTCACACATGGGCTCGGCACGGATATTTGGGCAAAGGGAATCGCAGTGTTTTCCCCTCTTGTGTAGTCCTCAAAATAAGACTTTTGACTGAAGTTTATATGTGATACAGAGAATAATAATATTCATGAACCTTTGGTAAACTTTCTAAAGCAAAGGGAATTTGATTTTAATAATTTATATTCTAATTTATGAACCTATGTATATAGTAAGTAATAAAGATTTTTTATATTGTGTACAAAATTGGAATGTGTCACTGTTACATCAGTTATGGCAAAAATCAGTATTTTCGTTTTGGTATGTCCACACCATTGCTGGTGTGATATATGTTGCTGGTGTGATATATGTGCAACAGTGGGGAGCAATGTTGCATTTAAGGAAACATGGCAGGTGACACAACCATCATCATGCAGTCAATCTGTTGCTCGTTGGATAACCTTTGAAATGAGAACTGGAATGCACTCGAATCCTTTTTCAACTTTCACACTTTTCACATCCTGCCTGGTCCTTCTGTTGTTGGAAAGGCTCATGACTTTGTACAGGTGACTCAACACGAGAAAGGGTTTGTCATCTGGCCTTTATTTTTAATGGTGTAGATGTTTGGGGTTCTGAAAGCAGGAAATATGAAATATTATACAGCACTAATACTTGTGGTCAATGCTGTAAATTAATATACAAATATAAACCAATTCTTTTTACAATTTTTGACACAATTTTTCTGTCTATATACCTTGCAAAATCTTATTTTGAAACTGAATATTAATATTACTCCCATTACAAAGCACATCCTATATAAAAGTGAATGTCCTCTTCATACCTTGGCTGATGTTTGCTTGTTCTTCAAACCATATGAGACTCATTGTGTTCTACTTCCGTTGTCAAGACAGGACTCAGTTGCCACTTGCCACCAGAAAGGTCCAGAATCGATGTGCTTGAATTTCGTCGTTGTTTTGGTAGTATTTTTGCAGACGCTGATTCCCCTAAATACAAAGCAAAATAAATTGCACATTAGGCTCGTTTACTCTTCGAAATATATTGAAAATCATATTGTAAACCTACCTGCGGCAAAATTCCAATGACAACAGATGTGCAGCAAAGTTAGTGTCATTTGAATGTTCATATTCACCACTTATTTTGGCCTCTTGTCACGTATCAAATGTCTTATCACTTAAATAGATCCTTCTGTGCTCTTTCTCCCATAAATTTCTGTACTCTTTTCGGCTCGAAAACACCTTTTTTCGACCAGCATTTTTCCTTGAACCCCCGTACTGAGTCAGCATGACGCCCCGGGCAGACGCCATATTGAAATTCGATACACTTGAAAAAGTTGGGTCAACTTTTTCAAGTTGATCTATGCGCAGAACGGATGCGCAGCCGGTGACACTGCCGCTTTAAATCTCAAATTACAACTCCATTTAATTGTCCTTCGTCCATGTTTTGGTATCATCTATTAGTGATATCTATTATATAATATTAGTGATAGCTGTGGTTGTTGAATGACAAGGTCTAAAGCCGTGCTGGGAATTTGTTAGTAGGTTTGAGGCTATAAGATAGTCATATATTTGGTTATGTATCAGTTTCTCCATAATCTTCGCTATAATTGAATTAACAGATATCGGTCTGTAATTTCCCATATCGTGCTTAGCTCCTGTTTTGTGTATTGGAGCTACCCTAGCGACTCTCCAATCAGATGGGAATATACCGGTAGCGAGTGATTGATTAAAAATTGATACAATTGATGGAGTAATTGCTGGAGCTGCGATTTTCAAAATTTTTGCTGAAATTCCATCGATGCCAGATGCTTTAGAGTTAACCAATCCCTGAAGTAAACCTAATATTTCTGGTTCTGTAATTTCTCTAAAACAGGTTAACTGACCTACTGAATTTTGAACGTCGCTAAGATAGCTTTCAGGAGTTACATTTGGTTGAGGTATATCATTCGAAAGCTTATCTCCCATTTCTACAAAATGCTTATTAAATGCATTTGAGATGTTTATCGGATCAGTAATTTCAACAGAATCAATTCTTACTTCTAGAAATGTATTCTCTTTTTAGACTTATTAATTAACTCGTTAATCGTTTTCCAGGTTATTTTAAGATCACCTTGGTTGTTATGTAATTTATTTTGAAAATGACTGCGGATTGTATCTTTCACTAGTTTATTATAACGATTTCTTGCATGGCGGTAGTCGGATCAGTCAGTCATAAACTTTGATAACACTGCTTTGCATTTTAAATATGTCTTCTCCCACTTTTTTAGAATAAGATCATCCGTTAACCACGGTATTTGTTTACTGGATACTTTACGTCTTTTAAGCGGGACATGTATATTTACAATCTCTAGGAATTTGTTTTTCCAAATCCTCCAAGATTTATTAGGACCAGAATGGATGAGATTCAAATTTGATAACGATGTTAGATTTCACATTTCCCTGTAGTCAGTATCCTCACACATTCTCAAAATCCAATTCATTTTTTCCAAACAGTTAAAGTACAGTTGTGTCTCGATATCCGTTCTGTTAGGCCTCAATCTTTCTGTTCACTGGACGGTTTTGTCTTTAAAATGGCAGGTTGTCCACGACAATGTCATTTAAAAAAAAATTAATTCGGAAACGCGTGTTATCTCGTTCTTTGCCGACAGCGTGACTTCCGTGCGTGGGCCCCTTCCCAACAGGAGTAAAAGCAAAACAACGTGAAGGAGATCCTTGCTCTTCCGCAACTGAAAGTAATGTTTCTTCGACACCTTCATGACGTAGGAATTAATTATCACCTCCTTCTGAACATTCTTCCGTACGTCCCTCCATCTTAGCCGGGGTATTACCAGTTAGGAAGTGGTCACCGCGATGTAGGGAACATGCACAATTTCCGAGACAGTAGAGCTGGCTTCGGTTTCCTGGCACTTTTCGGTATGCGTTCGCGATGCAGATTTGCTCTCGACTCGTCCTCGAAATCCAAAAATAATGTTGGAGTGTCTTCCTGAGCAAAACTGACGGTGCAGATTCGGTACTAATCCATCGTCTGAAATTCGGTGTTACCACAGGACTTGCATGCAGGCGTTTAGGTTGGGATTGGTAGTTTTCCGGTGCTGGCTGTCGTATTCTTTGGTGGCATAATTTCATTTTTCATTATTTCATGGCTTGTACAAGAGTTCGGACAAAATCCCGGACAAGGTTTCGGACAAGGTTCCAACCGAGGTTCAACCGTGTTCTGGCGGGTGCGGTTGGAAAACGTTTCAAATGGGGTTTTAAAAAATTTTTGTATTGGGTGGGACGGGGGTTCGGAATCGGTTGCGGCAGATTTGCGGACGAACTGCTCAGAATCCGGTTTATACCCTACAGATAAGGAAACATGATCCTCACAATGCAGTTACAAAAGGAGTAGTGTAGTCCTCGGCGATTGGCTGCAAACGACGTACCAAAACCAACATCTGCTCAATCGGGTGGAGATTCTCCAAACGATGGTTTGCAAAACTTTCGAATGGGGTGGGGAAAAAATTTGGAACAGGGTGGAGGTCCAACAGGATCGGACGAATTTTGGGACGATGGGCAAAGCTGTCCTCGAATCGGCATTTTACACTACTCACCACGATCAACTATCCGATATCTGACGTCTGCGAAAAATGCGTGCTGAAACGTAAAGTCGCATGCAGGGTGCCGCAGCGACTAACTACAAAGGAGTCTGAATTTAAAAGATTGGGTTAAACTTCATTGGCATTATTTCAAACAATTGTGGAGGAATTGAACAGAATAATACATTGCAATAAACAGTGTACAGCAGCGCCTGAACAGCCAATCTGTTTAGTTAATTAATTAGCTTGCATTAGTTTGATAAAAGTTTAGAAAAAATGAAAAATACTTATGAGATATAAATCATATAAATGGGGCTGTGAAAGACACTGTGTCATCAATAACAATCTGTTTACATGGTACTTCATATGAACGAAAGCACATAAACACGCAACAGGAGTCCATTATTTATTTTGTCATTTATTTTTATTTTTGTGTATTGTTTCAGGAGCTACTGGTTTCTTTGTGAAACATGTACAGACAGGGATGTGTATTATTGTCACAAGTAAAGTTCAGTCGACCAAGGAGGATTGGGGAAATTTAACTTTTGTGAAACTTTCTGACAACTGTTTGGATCCAGCTGCTCGGTCTCGTTTTCTTAATAATAGTGCGATGTTCAACTTGAAAAAAAAGGGATGTTTCGAGGTAGCAAAACGTTTCGTTAATTATGGTCGTATTGAAATGTTGTTTTTGCTTCTTACTCCAAATCCTTCAAATAATTGTCGTGATGTTCATGCTATAAAACAGACCTCTTGGGGAGGTTTATCTTATAACTTTAAGGCGCAGTGTACAGTCCCTAAAACAGATTCTCGACTGGCTACAGATCCAGGAATAGATCCTCACATCGGATTGAAAAATTGTGACAATGCAGAGGATAAACATTTTAATTTTGGTAAGATATCTTTACACTTTAAAAATCTTATTTGTAGTTTTCCTGTTTTCATATTTACTTTTATAATTTCTCACGCACCATTGCTGCTAAGCTAGCCTAGAGGATAGACGTAAACCATTTGAATTTAGAGTTAGGTGAATAAATGTGCATAAAAAAGTAGACCATTTTGAAAGGGCTCTCAATTTCTCAATTTCTTTGATTTTTTTTTTTAATTTTGTTTTGAGTACTTAGCCTATAGCAAGAGTTCAATTTTATTGACAGAGGAAATTTTTACGCAATAAGTCAATCAAAGACATTGCCATTACAAGATTTGATGGCAGGAAAATCTTCATTGCGGAAAGCCTAACCCGGCAGAATAAAACTATATTCAACAAGTGTCTTCAAGTCAAAACATATATATATATATATTTGCTGTGATTCGCTTTCCATACAATAGTTGCATTAACAAAACTGGGACATCAAAATAGCTTAAAGAGTGAGTATCAGGCACGTGATGCTTTGCGTGCTTACGTTTAATTACATGCTTGCGGAAGTCACTTTGCATTTCGTGCGATATCATACGAAATAAAGCAGTTGTTCACATTGTTGTGTGAAATAAAGTGATTCCAGTACGATGTCTGGATCAGAATCGGACCCAGATTTAGCTTTGGAGCGTTACGATTTAGAGGACGTTCTAAATGCGTACGGGTCTCCAGTTTGTATATCGCAAAGAGAAGAACTAACCGGTGTCGAAGCCGCAGCGATTGAACCCTTGAATGAACCACCTTTGGCCGCCGACGATGATAGAACACAGGTTAGTTTACCTTATTTTCACCAGCTGTTTCAGTAACAAATAACTGTATACTTGGAGTCTTGTATTTACGCAACAAATTCCTGTTAATTTCAGTGGTGTAGCTGCAAAAATAAGTGTAGCAAGCGAAGCGGCAGAAAGAAGCGAGGTTGCCCATGCCGAGATGAAGGTGCCAAATGGACAGAAAGATGTTCATGTGGAACTAAAACGGCTAATTGCAAAAACAAGCCACAGCAACAGGGAACAGTTGCCTCCGCAAATGCAGGATAAAACGCATTTAGACGTCACGAGATCGCAGTCAACGAAGCAAAAAAATAGATTACGGTGAGCACGTGCATTTTTTATCTCAGAGTTACAATATTGTAAGATTTCTCACAAGCATAAAGTGTCTGAATACTTATGAAGCATATGAATTTTTTACGGCGATCGAACCCGCAACGTTGTGAAGCCACAGTAGATATATGCCTGTATGATATTGCAATCTAATTTACTTATACCTTTTGTAGCCTCAAAAATGTTGCAGTTGCACGTTTTGTGCTTGAAGAAACACATTTTCAACCGATAATTTTTGTTTTAAGAGCTGGTTGTCTGGTGTTATATTATTACAGATTACCTTTGTTCTCGCAGTATGCATACTGAATACGTTTATACCTTTGAACCTGGGATATGGTTTTGGAATATAATTGAATATTTCAGCAAGGAATATATCAGCTTATATGATTGTATGAAATCTGGTATAGTAGAACTTCTATCCATTTAATTTATGCAAAAGTATGTAACCATGCAAATATAAATTGCTTTTGTATTTTCAGGAATTCATCACAACATTGACTGTTGATCAAAAGGACAAAATACTACTGGATCGTTTGGCCAATGGAAAGAGTAGTCTAGTTACGCCAAAAATTTAGCGGAATTCGGCGGAGTCTCCCCATGAATTCCCAGACACAAGGCCACCCAGGTGTAAATGTGGTGTATGTCGGCCTAGGCCTACTGATGAAGAAAGGAAGTGTTGTGGTAAATCAGGTGTTTAACATCATATGTAACATTCAAGAACACCTGTACAGACAGAGAGGTTTTGGTCATGCCCTTCAGATCAAGGTGTGACATTATGGCTGAGGAACCAGATCACTCAAGAAATGCGAACTGAAAGGCTGCATATCGCCAGTACATTCTCTGGCGATACAAAAAGGTGGGAAAGGATATTCTTCCAGAAAATCTGACATTTTATAATTTTACCGCGATTTTGAATTACCTGCGAAATATCTGCACGCAGCACTGTACCACTGGCATGCAATTGTCGATTCAACTCGAAACAAACCCACAAAATCTCGCAAATCTCTCTGTTTTTCGGAAGTGAGGAACTGGGAACAAGCCTGCAAGTAAACAAGAAACATAGCCGCTCGAAACAGCTTGAAACAGTATATTGACTTCTTCTATTCGGCTTTAAGGATGCCTTATTGGCGGCATGCATAATCCGTAAAAAGGTAACATTTTAAACGATTTCGGAACCGGTTTGTCATGGAAAAATCAACAATTTTTTTTAGCTATATTAATAGTTTCAACATAGCCAAATACAGTGCGAAGTCCGCAGTTTGCATCTTCTGAAAGGATGTCGGCTAACTCGACGGAGTTTTATCTCATGTATATTAAGATTACTATAGATTACAAGTAGTGTGTAATGAGGTGTTCTGGCTACTTTTCGTAATTGCGCCCAGTTTGCCGCAAATTAGGCCAAGCATGCCCAAAAGGGGAATTCCCTTTTCCCAATTTACTTCCTAGAATTTCGCTTTCCTGCAAAGAAACTATGACGGCACTTCCGGTTTCGATGAAGTCATTTCCGGTTTCCTAAAAATACCACAATCCCTTTCGCACCTCTTGGAACCATCCGTCCCCCGAAATCTCTGCCCCCTCTCGCGCACCATCACCTCCAACCCTCTTCCCCCAGGCCTCCACCCCGCGCACCTGTTGGAGTTTTCCTAAATTCTTAGTGAGGTCTTTTCAAAGTCTTTGTGAGGGCTTCCCAGAGTCTTCCCAAAGTCTTCCCACCGGCAAACGGTTTAAAGGTAATACTTTTCTATATAATAAAGGTACCATGTCTATTACCAGAGTATAATATTCTCCGAAAATTCGTTCGCATTTGAGGATTCCGTCAGGAACAGGTTCGGGTCTAAAAAGATCGGACTTGCGGCGGAAGACGGTGGACCTCTCCTACTCTAGCTGGAAAACTGCCTGGCCTATGCAATTAACAAAACAACAAGTTCGGAAAGGACAATTATACCATTCCGTTAGCAGTCGGAACACATACGGAATTTGTATCTGCTCTGGTAACGCTGGAGAAGAAGTGTGCCTCGGTCGTTTGAAAACCCGACATCAATGTGATGAGATGTTTCTATCGGGGTGGAACGCAGCCGGTTCTGTATGCGAAAATTGACCAGAGTACAGCGATGTACAGGGAGGACGGGAGAGGGAACAGAAGTCCGATGAAGGAGCGCGACAGACACTTCTATCTGGATCCTTTGATTAGGGTTTCGAGTATACACCTATCCGGAAATATGGTTTCCGTTCAGGTCAAGCCTCAGGAGGCAAAGTATCTGGGGGAAAACGTGGTGGAAACTGGAAGAGGCTTCTGTAGATCCGTTAGAATTTTAATGTTCCTACAAATATTAAAATTGGTTCGTTCGGATTTCTACTGCCTCAGGTCCTTATGTCCGATTGCCATGGTGTGTTTTCCGTCCACACAAATCACACGTTTGTCGTAGTTTGCAGATAACCCGACCTTGCTGACGGACTCAGAATACATAGTCTGATGGTAACTCCGAAGTCCGTTCATTTCCACCATGTGCTTTTTTCCTGGATTCTTCATGCAGTTGACGTAGTCGTCGAAGGTGAGTCCACCCTTAACGACATATCCTCGGACACCCTTTGCCTTCTTTTCCTCTGGCCCATCGCTCATCCTGAATGCGTACATCTTTGCTCGGATGACACACGCATCGCTTATCTCTTTTCCACCGGTTTCGTTTTTCATGAAACCGAGCTCCATTTTGTTGTCGCAGAAGTACATCAGATGGTCCTCCTTGTAGTTGCTGTGATCGAAGTACTTGAGATGATCACCTATTTTAAGGATGTCCACATCCACGTCGTCCGTCTCAATATGTACGAACAAACTGTCTGTGTCCGTCATAATTAGTTTGACCCTATCACCCCATGTGGGCTTTGCGTAGTTGTACCAAAAGTCATACATCACAATTTTGGACAAGTCCAAAATGGCAGCTCCCAAATAAATGGGTTTGTCCAGCATCACGACCGATCTCCGCATTCTCACGGAGGTTAAGTTCTCCGAGATGATGTTGAAGGACTGGTAGTTTGTCTTTCTAGCCAGATTGTTGATCTTCTTCTTCGAAGTTGCCATCCGCACATCCACACGGTTTTGGACGCTCTCCATCGTCTTACCGAATACCGCATTGTTCATAAGCTTGAAAAAGTTCTTTTCCGACTTACTTTTCACCTTCTTACGTTCCTCCGTGTTCTTTGCAATATAATGTTTCAGCCAGTCGTCCTGATCAAATTCTATTCCGCGATGTATCACTTAATTTTTAACCCTAGTTTAAGGTAAAACGTCAAGGCCTTGTGATGGACGATGTACATTTCCTTAGCACTTAGGCTGCAGATCAGCTTGTCCACCATTCCAGTCTTCATCCTTTCAGGCCCTAAGGGATAGTCGTTGTGCAGGTCGTGAAGATCTTTTGGATACTTCAGATCCACTTCCAGGAAGCATGGATAGTCCAAAGAGTACATTGACTGCATGAAGAAGCTGGACGAAACATGTCTTCCTCCCAAGGAGGACTTTTTCTCATCGTTGACGAACGAGGGACTTTTTAATGCCATGGCCTATGCCGGAGCCGGATTTCTTTTCTTGAAATTAAATAGACAAGGATACAAGGAAGAAGTGAAAAGATATAACCAAGCATTGGAAAAACTTGCGAAAGCAAATGAAAAATTTTATGAATCCGAATTAAAGCGGACGAACGACGAAGCTCGACGTCGAGCAGAGATCGTGGATGCTAACAAGGACATCGAGGAAACAAACAGAGCGCTGGAAGATTTAAGAAATTTTACGAGACTTATGGATGACTCGACATCACAGCGCAGACCGAAATTGGAAGATTATTATCAATCGTTGGACGAAATGAAAACGTATGCGATGATGACGATGGACGTTTTGGGGGGTGGTGGTGCCTACGGTCTATGTTGTCGGGAGGAAGAAATTTATCTTCGTAGTTCTTGTTCTATTTGTTGTATTTCCGGCAGAATCTATATCTTCGAACTCAACACCTAAAATCAGCTGTACGTATAAATTTCCGGAATTATTTAGGACAATACATGTAACCTGAATAGATCTTTTCACTTAAACGACTCTAGAAGGAAACCGCAAAGTGGCGTTCCGGTTATTTTCTGTTTGGTTGCAAATCCAAGCGTTTTACCGTTATGTATAGTCGATCATACGACTACAATATGCATCCATGAAAAGTTGTGTATCCCCAAGTATAACACTTAGTAAAACCCACCTATACTAACAGATTGTGCATTTGGATACATAAACATGCAGCCATGCCGTACCAGAAATACTAGCAAACACAACCTGGAAAAACACTATAATGTTTCAAGTTATCATACATTTACTACAGTATATACTCCAGCTAGATATACTCCCTTTCTACTCTTTCTGTGCACTTATAATACCGGCCCGGGAATGGAATTTGCACTATTTGTAGATGCAAGCAATAATTTGACTTTCATCCATCAGGGGCGGATCCAGGGGGTATCGAGTGTAGCTCAAGATACGGTCAGATTTTTCCGATTGTGCATACTAAAATAGTTTTGGGGGAAAATTCAATATTAATATATTTTCACGCAATTCATTTCTGTTTACAAAAGTAGTGAAAATTTGAGTTTACTAAGATGAACGAGGGCAAATTCTTTCGTAAATTTTTAAATTTACAACTCTAAATGTAACATTAGACGTGTTTTTAAAGCATTGAATTACTTTCGACGAAGATGAGCCGAGAGCTTTCCGAAGGCATAACGCGACGTTACGTAACCCGATCGGGAAAATGCTTTCAAATGCGTCTGCGGTGTTCTGATACGGTCCGCGGTTCAAATGTTACTAAAAATAGTAACTTAATGAGGTATTTGGATACCTTGGAGGGTATCCAGCCAATCACAGGACGTGTATCTATGACGTCGGATACCCTCCGATACTGTGGCTGTATTTTGATTGCGCAAGAAATTAAATAATCGTGACCGCTCGGAAACTTCGTCTCGTATTGCTAACAGCCGCATTTCATCTAACGTAACTGAGTGAGTTAGTGATGGCCTTACATAATTTCAGAAGACGTCCTTGAAATAACACTTTATAAATAGTGTATTGGATGCCAATTACAACAAGACTATTACGAAAAGGATATGTCCGAAGTTATGTTCGGCGAAAGGTATGGCTAGTTTACATTGTTCGAGAAAAGAGTAATATAGTGAAATATATGATATTGCTTGACCTCTCAAAGTTCATAAATCGCTATATTGACTAAAACTATCGTTAGGAATTAGGAGCTATTCTTTCAATGAACCGAACGGTAGTATTTTTGTTTTCATAGCATTCGCCTAACCGAAGATATTAATCTGTAAAGTCATATTGCGGCATTGCGCGTGCAATATGTTATTAATTTAAATAGGGACCGGCCGAGAATATTAATATACTCAGTCGCGAAAGCCGACTTTTCTATGTCAAAACGCCCCAGGCCACGTTTCATGAAACAGAAACTTGAACACTGATACCAAGAAGAGTTATTGTGTGTTTTTTTGTTACTTTGTGTTTAAAATATAACCTTGTTAAGGCCAAATTTTAGGCCAGAATCTTGGGCTCAGAACGCAGGAAATGGCATTTCCGGGGTTCAAATTTCAAAAAAATTCCGGGGGGGCATGCCCCCGGACCCCCCTAGTTATGCGAGACCTAGGAATATAATACGGTCACATTTTAAGCTAGATCCGCCCCTGTCCATGACTAAATCATAACAAATAATCTGCATACATAAGTTGCTTTATAGGTCGGTTTAGGTCTCATTAGCACATATTCACTAACATAACCAATCAGATTTTGGATTTTGACGAAAGAATTGCAAAAATAAATATAAGTCCGCTTTCGTCCTTAGATGCAGGTCAACTATTGGTCGCTGGTTCATACACATGGTAGCTTGTTTTATCATTTTGATTAACAAATGGTGGAATTTCAGACTGCCAGCGATGGTAGCGAACCATTACAGAAAACGTGGGGTGGACTTGATCAAATTCCCTGACCAAGGTCAAGTTTAGCTATTGACTGGACTCGACTTAAACCAGTGAATCGACTCGAAGGAAGCGCTGACTCGACTCGATCAGAAACTGAAATGACTCGACTCATGACTCGACAGCTGAGTGACTCGACTCGACTCGTGACTCAACCTGTAGGTGACTCGTTACAACACTGGGCAACCATTACGCTTTATCTACAAACCAAATCTTTATCTTGCAAAAAAAAACCATTACGCGTAATGAACTTTTCTGATTACAAATGAATTACACAAATCCTCTCTTTTTATACGTTTAAGTATTGTGAAGCTTAATATGATCTTATTTTTTTAGCACAATGCCTTATTCATGTTTGATTATTATACTGGAAGCGTCCCACAAACATTTCAATTGTTTTTCTTTCCAATTAGCCAAAAATATAGTTAAAACACCAGACGTGCTTCAAGATCATCTCATACTCTTTCCCTAAAATAAGAACAAACTACGGCAAATTTAATATTAGATTTGATGGCCCAAAGACGTGGAACGATAAATAAATAAAGATATTAAAAGTCTGGAATATCCAAACTATTGCACTCTTATTCTAAACTATTGCAGTCTTATTCAATTATGTAATTTTTAAATTTTTTTTGTCCTGTTAGCGATTTCTTGTTGTAAATATATAGCTATTCAATTTATTGTTACTAGCTATTTGTCTTGTTTGTTCAGTGTCTTGGTTGTCACAGTTATCTTGTAGCTACCTACTACTATGTTTCAATTGTTTCTTCTTCTCAATATGAAAATAGCTGGGTAATAGCTGTTATCGTAATTGAATACGCCACTGCGGCGACCAGCGGTATCTCAGTGGAAGTACGGACGAAAATGAGGCTAAAGGGTAAAAAAAGACAAAACATGACCCTATAGCCTCGTTTCGATGTTAAAATAATGCAGATACCGCTGGTCCGTAGCATAGACGTATTCAATTACGATAACAGCTATTATGGTACTAATAGGCCGTGGGCTGTTGGCCAAAATTATTTCGTTTTGTGGAACCCATGTAGGAAATACTTGGTATGGCGTTTATTTGAAAGGCATAGAGGTACGTCACTACCAAAAAAAGTTCCCAAGTAAAAAGTTGCCCAATACCGAGAAAATGGGTGATCAATGATTATCCTCTATTTGTATTACAGTAAAAAATGGGCATTTTATAATTCAATTACAATAAAAATGACTTGCATCATCGGTAAACGTACAAAAAACTGCATATAAGACTTTTAAACAGTTTTTTGATTTTTCAAATGGCCTTTGAGCTATTGCTGTTTTAAATGTGAAAACAGGTCAAAAACGCGTTTTTGACAGCGTATAACTCGAAAACAATTTTAGGTATGAAAAAACTGTTTAAATGTCTTATATGTAGGTTTTTGTACGCTTTCTGATGAGGCAAGTCATTTTTGTTGTAATTGAATGCCAAATTTCACATTTTCATGCTGTAATACAATTTAATTGAGGATAATCACTGATCACCCATTTTCTCGGTGTTGGGCAAGTTTTTTGCTTGGGAACTTTTTGTGGCAATTACGCATCTATGGTTCTACTATGAATTGCACTATAGAAAATCTATTTCTCAGGGGGGTGCCACGAAATTGCTTTTCTAGGCACTTTTTCGCACAACAGCCCACGACCTATAATTGATAAATGAATCTGATTATAAATATATATCATGTAGAATAAATTAACAAAAATGTTTTGTAAAGATAAATTTTTATTTCCAGAGCGTGGGGGTGTGGGGGTTTAAGATCTCTTGAAAAGTTTAAAACGTATTTCGAGTTCATGGGCGAAAACATGGCCAGAAATGGAGTCCTACATGGCTGCCAAGCATGCGCATTTTGCCTCAAATGATATTCAAAATGGCGTCTTCTTATCCCCGAGCCGACGGCGCGAAGCACCGTGCGAGGGTACTAATTCCACCCGGCTATTTACACCCGGGGAAACGAAAGCATTAGCGAAGTCTAAAGTTCATCAATCATCGCGGGCGCTCACCAACGAGCGACGATCTTGAGTGGGTGGTCATCCTCAGTTATTTCAAAAATATGGCAAGCAAGATTTCAATTTTAAAAGACATATATTTTGAAAATCGTTTCATATACAACAAGCTTGAAGCAATTTTGTTTGAAGAAATGAGAAGAATTGGTTTACTACGGGAAATCGGTAAATATACGGCAAGTTTGCTTTGAATATTTTTAAAATGTTTACGAATTTTGTCGCTTTAACTTTTTACGTAATAAAAAACATAAACTATAGAAGCTCTAAATTTCATAAATTACCGTTTAATTTGAGAAAAAATCTTAAAATGTAAAAGCGAGCAAATTGATTTGAAGACTGAACTGAAATTACCTATCAATTTGTTTTACTTGTATTAAACTTATCATGTTTTGTTAAGTAAAAACAGTTTATCGGCAAAATGTAGTTTACTTGAATGAACATTTCAAAACATTTTACGAAGCGTTTCAAGTTAAATTTTACATTAAATCAAAGCTCACAAAATACAAAATAATATATATACCTACAGTATATATTTCGGAAATTTATCGTTGTATAGATAAAAGTACGAATCTTTCAACTATTTTGCAGTTTTGTACAAAATATATGAAAATTAAAATTTAAGAATATCGTGTTGTCATGGCAACAATTGAGCGCGAGCCTGCGTTCAGTGCTGGTCATTTCTGAATACTTCATGTTTAATGTATAGCAATATTGGCGAGGGGTAACTGCATGCATTTATTTCTAGTCTAGTATTAAATACTCGCAGTTTTAATACAGCATCAGGCTTTGGCATACTCACATGTGCTAAAAATGTGAATCTTACCGGTAATATTGTCCTTTTAGATCCACAACAGGCACAGCAAAAATGCACCGTCTTCCTCGACTTTTTAAAACAGGCATAATTGATGAAAAAATCAAGATTTACAGTTCACAAACTAAACCAAAATATTTTGTATTTGTGAAAAAAAAGAG